ACTTCGGTTGTGTTTATACTGAAAAAGCCAAAGACAGCACCAGCAGCAGCAGCAACAGCAGCAGCAGCAGCAGCAACAGCAGCAGCAGCAGCAGCAGCGACCACGAACAGCAACTAGAAGATCCTTACTGAAACAACTTCACAATACTTTCGATTCATTGCTAAACCTCTGCAGCACGACTGAGGTGTACGGACAGCAGCAGCAACAGCAGCAACAGCAGCAGCAGCAGCAGCAGCAGCAGCGGCAGCAGCTGCAACAGCAGCAGCAGCGACAGCTCGAAAGAAATGCCCAAGCAACAAGGACAGTGGAGGCAGCCCACCACGTACATAACCCCCCACATCAGCAGCAGCATCAGCAGCAACAGCAGCAGCTGCTGCAGCAGGGGCAGTGAATAACAGCAGCAATCAGCAGCAGCAGCAGCAGCAGCAGCAGCAGCAGCAGCAGCAGCAATAAGCAGTGGTCGGCAGCAGCGACGGCTCACTTGGCGTTCCCATAAATGCAGCAGTGACAGCATCTGCAGCACAAGCAGCAGCAACAGCAGCAGCAGCAGCAGCAGCAGCAGCAGCAGCAGCCGCTGCTGCAGGACGAAGAACTGCTGCTGATTTGCATCAAAGGCAGCAGCAGCAGCTGCTGCTGCTGCTGCTGCTGCTGCACACGCGACAATGTGGGGCGCCGCTAGAGATGGCAGCATGCATCCCGATGACGAGGCTGCAGCAGCAGCAGCAGCAGCAGCAGCAGCAGCTGCTGCTGCTGCTGCTGCTGCTGCTGCTGAGGATGACGACGACCGCCTGGGCAGCGGAGACGTTTTGTTTGATGCAGAGGCTGAAAGCGATGAAGACATAGGCAGCTTTGCACTCGGTAAGCGCAGCAGCAGCAGCAGCAGCAGCAGCAGCAGCAATAGCAGCAGCAGCAAAAGCAGCGGCAGCAGGGACAGCATGGGCTGCTGCTGCTCTTGCTGCTGCTGCTTTCAGTCTGCGCTGGGGGCTAGATTAGACGTTGCATCTGCGTCCGCAGCAGCAGCAGCAGCAACAGCAGCAGCAGCAGCAGCAGCAGCAGCAGCAGGTGTATGTACAGCTGGTGATTTGTGCTGCAGGGGGCGCCTTTGAGATGCAGCCGCGGGTGGTAGGAAGAGCAGCAGGAACAGCAGCAGCAGCAGCAGCAGCAGCAGCAGCAGATACTCTTCCCCTTGAGCAGCAGCAGGCAGCTGGAGGGGGGGCCATAGGGTGGATGATGCGGTTGCTGCGGCTGCCTCAGCAGCAGCAGCAGCAGCAGCAGCAGCAGCAGCAGCAACTGCCGCCGATGCGTAGACGCAGGAGGAGATATGAAGCCGTTGTTGGAGAGGGAGCGCATGCAGAAGACAACGATGCTGTGCTTGTGCAGCAGCAGCAGCAGCAGCACCAGCAGCAGACAGCACACCGCGAGCAGCAGCAGCAGCACCACCACCACCACCGCCAGCAGCACCAGCAGCAGCAGCAGCAGCAGCAGAAACTTCTGCTGCTGATAACAGCAGCAGCAGCAGCGGGGGCCGCCTGCGTCTCTTCTGGCGTCGCATGCGTAGCCGTTTGGGTGGCTCTGCAGCAGCAGAGTCTGCGGACGGAGCAGCAGCAGCAGCAGCAGCAGCAGAAGCAGCAGCAGCAGCAGCAGCAGCAGCAGCAGAGGAAGAAGAAGAAGATGAAACCCTCGATGACCCCACCTGCCAGCAGCTGCTGCTGGCGGGGGGCCTCATATGTTGGGCCCCCCTGCTATGGATCGTTGGCTGTCTCCTTTTCCTAGCAACCCCAAGAGCATACCGCAGAAGCAGAAGAGTATCCTGCTGCTGCTGCTGCTGCTGCTGCTGTTGCTGCTGCTGCTGGTGTTTGTGCTGCTGCTGCTGCTGGTGATTGCGCTGCTGCTGCTAGCTAGCTAGTCAGCTAGCTAGCTAGTCAGCTAGCTAGCTAGCGGGCTAGCTGTTTGGGTAGGAGTAAGCGAAGCAGGGGTCTAGCTAGCTAGCAACAGCTAGCTAGCTAGCTAGCTAGCTAGCTAGCTGTTGCGTTGGGTGTGGTGTGTGCTGCAGTGGGGGTCAGTGAACGTGCTGCTGGTGGCGATATTTATTTGTTTGTTGGGGCTGCGGCAGATCGAAGAAAAGCCCCAAAGGTAAACCCTGCATGCATGCATGCATGCATGCATACAGTGCATGCATGCATGCAGTGCATGCAGTGCATGCATGCATGCATGCATGCATGCAGTGCATGCATGCATGCAGCTCCCAACTGCTTCTCCTGGCTATATTGCTCGTGCTGCAGTACCCTTTTGTCTCTGTATATATATATATATA